AATTAAAAATATATATTTTTGACTAAAATGTTGATATTCATCCATATTAATCACATTTTTCCTCTTTATAAAAGTACATTTCTTAAGTGCTAAAATAGGGGATATAAATCTGCCTGCAGCTGGGCTTGGTGGCTCAGCCTGTAATCCCGCGCCTTTGGGAGGCTGAAATGAGTGGATTGCCTGAGCCCGCGGGTTCGAAACCCGCCTGGGCAGCGAGAGCTCATTTCTACAATAAATCAAAAATCAGCCAGGCGTGGTAGTGCATGCCTGTAATTCTGGCTACTCGGAAGGCTGAGGCGGAAGGATTGCCAGAGCCCAGCAGGCGAGGCTGCAGTGGCCAGGAGCGGGCACTGCACTCCAGTCTGGGCAACCGAGTGAGACTCCAACTCAAAAAAAAAAAAAAAAAAATCTGCCTGCTTTCTAACATGTAAATGCCATAAACACAAGTAAATACTGAAAATTATCTTCTTCAGCTGGAACAAATAATATTTCTTCTACTTTGAAGTCTTGAACAGTGATAAATTTGTAATTTGTGAATTTCATCAGCAATATCTATGGATAGACTTTTATTGATAATTCTAAGCACTCCATCCTGTTTTTTAAAAATTTTATTTATTTTCCATAATATTTTATGTGCATCTCAACTTAGGAAGGAATGAAAACGATTCCATTTTACATTTAAGAAAAGTGCATAGTTTTTGAAATCTAACAGTGGAGAAAACCTTGAAGTTAGCCCAACTCAATCCCTTCTTTTCTCAGAGGATGACATCAACCTGCTTCTTATTTGCTATAATCTTTCCTGCTTTTACCCAGATCCTCCAAGGTCATGGAAAGACTAGTCTTTTTATTAGTTTCATATTGTAATTCTCACAAAGTTTTTTCCTATCTGCACAGAAACTGTATTTTTACAATTAAGAAAAAACCCTCAGCCTATTTATGAGGTTTTATTTCAGTATTTTTTTAAAAATAAAAATTTCAACTAGGAGAACATACAACTTGACTATGGCAAGCATTTTAATTTTAAACCAGCATGTTTATAAATAAAAATTTAATCCAGAATAAGCATTTCATTTTTAAAGTACCAAGTCATTTTTTCATTTTATTTTATTTTTATAGTCATCTTTTAAAGAAAAGGTGTTAGAGATTAAGGGACCACAGACAAGTTAGATCACTGCCTTCTATAAAATGGTTAATTTTTATAACAAGAAAGGGTACTCAGACAGATGTTTTGCATACCTATGTTCACAATAGCCAAAAAGTGAAGCCACCCACCCAAGTGTTCAATAGGTGAACGTATAAACAAAATGTGGTATATGTATAGTAGAATATTATTCAGCCTTAAAAAAAGTAAACTGACACATGCTACCACATGAATGAACCTTAAAGACATTATGCTAAGTGAAATAAGCTAGTCACGTAACAAATAACAAATATTTTATAATTCCACTGTACCTAGAGTAGTCAAATTCATAGAGACAGTAAGTAGAATGGTGTTTTCCAGGGTCTGAAGGAGGAGGAACAGGGTGGCAGGAATGTAGTGTTAATTAAGTACAGAGTTTCAGTTGAGGAAGATGACAAAGTTCTGGAGATGATGGTGGTGACGGTTGTATAACATTGTGAATGTGCTTAAGGCCACAGAACTGTACACTTAAATATGGTTAAAATAGTAAATTTTATGTTATGCATATTTTACCACAATAAAAAAGAAATAATGTAACTGAGTAACATTCTGATCAGATTAGAGTAACATTCTAATCACAGATGAAAACAGTAAATAGCCAGGCATTGTAATTTTTTTAAAAAGACACCTATACTTTGAGAGTCTTTAATTTCACTGTTTACTTTTTGTTTTGCTTTCTCCCTTATTTGTACCTCCAGCACCCTAAGTTCATTTATTTCATTTATTTATTTTGTGAGTTATACATTTTAAGATGGGAAGACCAAATTCCAAAAGTCACCAATTGTTATGTTCAGAAAAGTTGTACTCTTCAAGTCTAGTCCATGCAAATAATACGATTTCATAACATACAGTGGTATATTTTTATAATAAGCATTGTCCTTTTATACAGTATTAATCCAGTCAATTTTCTTCTGACTAGTCTATACAACCCTGAGTTATATACTTTCTATAATACCACCTGTGGATTTTCTGGAATTTTAACCAATGTTCCAAAATTTCAATCTTAACTTCTAACTAGAGTTTTTTTTAAGAAATAATGATCCATGATTTATAAAATTTCAGTAACTTGCTTTCAAGTCCATTATTTTCATGACAAAGTTGCAAAACATAAATTACCAGAAAATTTTATTTTTCTTATCTTAAATGTAGCAGTTAAGAGCATGGACTTTGTAGTCATATGGCCTGGGTTTGAATCCTGGTTACCACTTACTAGATTTGTGAGTGGGTAAATTATTAAATTATCTAAATCTCAGTTTCCTCATTTTAAAAATGTGAATAGTAATAGTTGTTGTGAAGACTATGCATATAAAGCTCCTCAGCAATGTCTTACATATAGTAAATTCTTACTGACAGTCATTAATAATAATAAATATTACAACAAAACATGTAGAAATGATAAGCACACTATTAGACTGAAAAACATTAGGCTGCAACTTTTTTAAATGACTCCTTACTGTTTTGACACTAAAATGAATCTGGAAAATAGATTAACTGTATTTTGTAAGACTTGTTTTCTTTTGTTCATCTCTTCCAAATAACTTGATTCTTATTACCACATTAAACAAAAGAAATTACTCCAAATAAAAATGAGAAGTAAAACCATGTATGTGCATGTGTGTAAACACTTAGAAACACACACCCCTCTTTAATGAGCTGTATACAATTTGAGGAAGTTGTATAGAAATATGAGAAAAAACTTGAAAAGTAAACAGGAAGAGCCACAGACTATAATGAGGGTAACAAGGTATACAAATGTAGGCAAATTTCCAAGTTTAACTACTTGAACAATTCATTCAGAATCACGTCATTGTTAGAAAAATATACTCTAATTATTCTGGTCATTACTCTAGTAGATATATTGACCAGTCCAGAAAAGTTGGATATTCTCATCTCTTTTATCAATGTAAGAAGGCAAAAGGAATTCTTTTTCTTTAAAAAAAATCAAATTGCTACCAGTTAATACTAATAAAGAAAAATCTTAATACTAATTAAGATTTCTAAACTATATAATATTTGATGATAGGATTTCTGCCATAGTTTCATTAGAAAGTACAAAAAACTTCTATACTACCAATTCTTACTACCCAAATATAAAGTAAAATTCTGTTTCAGAAACAAACTTACATTTCAGAAAATGTATTCCTTGGAACACTAATGGCACAAGACTATGGGGTGTGAGTGTAAAAGGGTTCTGTAGTCAATAAGTTGAAGTCTGGAAAATGCTGCATTCAATCTCTCTCTCTTAGAGATTCATAACACTATTAACATAAAAGGTTCTGAGAAGTCCTTCAGTGAGCAGAGCTGTTTACATTTTTTTAACCAGTGTTTCCCAAAAGTATTTTGCCACAGAATTCTTTTTCTCAGGTAATACCAAGGAATCAGTGTTCCTCAAGACAACTATTTTGGGAAATGTGCAGTAAATTGCCACTGATTAGTTATTAAACATGTAATTTCACATTCACCTGTCCCAAAAAGGTAGTCATTGGCAGAATTTGATGAAATCCCAAAATGAGCCCACTGTATTTCATGTCAAGAAAAAAAAAAAACCAACTAACATGTCTACAGTAGCATTTATACTAGTTTATAAGCATTTGTACAAGTTACAGTTATTTTCAAAATATATGTTTTGACTTCCTTATAGCCTGTATATTATTTAATCAAATCCAAATACCCAGTTTCTAATACCTATGAAAAGCTAAAAATGAATGTGATTCTCCAAGCCACTGCTTTTCTTTCTGGGCTTCAATGCAAGCTGAGAAAACCCTGCAGCTGTGAGCTACTGCCCACCTTCAAATATGAGAATACTAAACTTCTGTTGTAGTATTTTATTAACTAGTACTATATAAAATAATGAATGCTCTACAACATTAATCCTGAAGTGAAATAGTGATTATTACTTTATTCCCTCAACACTCCCTTGACACCACTATTAAGTATATAGAACAAAATACTGTAATTACTACTTTACCTATGGAGGTTGAACAATTTGCCTGAAGTACCAATAGTCAGCAGGGACCAATTTCTTGTTGGACAGATACTGTGTATAGAATAACTATAGAAACTGTATCAGATAATCACTCTAAAATGTGAACAAAAACAGGAAATTCTTTTACTAATAGCTTATTATTTAAGGAATTTTCTTCTTTTGAGAAATAATTCTGGAATACAATCTGCTAGAAACCCTAACTTGAACTAAAAAAAAAGCTGATGGTGTGCTAGACAGCTTTTTGTGAGTTCAGAAATTAAGAACAAAGTCTTAACAACTGTAATGAGGCATTCATTACTTTGTCCTTGTGTTAGATGAAAGAAAATAAGCAAGCTAACATTAATTTTGGATGAAGTATGAATGTGAATGATTGTGCTCCTGGACTGTGGCATCATTTTCTTCCTAGATTCTCCCTTAAATTTCAAAAGTACATAAAAGTGTAATAAAATGTGTAAGATGAAAGAGACGTCAACTAAAAAGCTTAATAGAAAAGAGACAATGACTGTTATTGTAGAAATAATATATTTTGGAACTCATGGACATTTGATCATTGATTTTCAAATTATACAAATAAACTGGCCATTGGAAGAAAAAAGTACTCCAAAACATCTATGGAAGAATACATGTAATCACAGTATTTTATATTATGATATTATATATCAATGACATTTTACCAGAGATAAGGTAAATGGTCAAGGAGAAGGAAAAAACTGACATGAAAGGAATCAAGAATGTTAACAATTCAGTAAAAGAAAAGGAGTTAAAGTATCAAGTTCAAGTTTCATAAGTGTTTTTTTTAATTTAAAAACAGAAGTAACAAAAATTGGTCTTCACCTGGTAAGTGTGTACTCCCTGAGTCCTGAATGCAAATTCATGGCAGAAAAAGTACCTATGCATCCACGTAATCTTTTGTCTCGACCAATCTTCCATGTTACAAACAGTGGGCTGTAATGGAAGATAAAAACAGGGTAAATCAATCAATTCAATTCAAGCAAGTATTTCTTTAGTATTGACTATGTGCTAGGTTAGGTGTTTAAAATAAAAAGAGCAAAAGACAGGTCCTCTAGGGGCACAGAGTCTAGTCTAATAGGATTGCACTTAGCAAAAATCATACTACATTATATTAGGCACCTCAATAAATGTTTCAGACACATTTATGCTAATCCTCATCAACAACTCTAGGAGGCTGATACTAATATTCCTATTTACAGATGAGGCAGTCCCACAGTTGATACATAATAAAGGAGACAATCTTGACTATGTACCTTTAACATCATGGCTGACTACCCAATTCCTTATTTAAACCTCGCTACTGATTCATAAATCTAATTTAGAAAATCCGGGGAGGGGGAATCAACAATTTTTATAAATACTTTCTGAAAATATAGGGGTGAGGTGCTGTGAAAGGTGCTATGAGAGATACAAGGATATCTAAAATGCAACCATTGCTCTCTAGGAGCCAGTACAATAGTCAGGCATGTTCACAGCTAACTAATACAAAGCAAAAAGAAATAGGTTCTATAGACCACATCCAAAATACCGTAAGTTAAGTTACTGGGATAGAAGAAAATTTCATCAAGCTTGACAATCTTTAGCTTGACCAAAAAAAAAAAAAAATGAGTAAGGTTCAGAGAGGTAAAGGGCAACAGCAAACATTAACAAAATAATACTCTGAAACCAGAAAATTTATTTTTAGCTTTATAAAAAGTATTATTTATAAATACAATCTCTCAGGCATCAAAAAGCAAAGCATCAATTAAAATAAAATGGCATCAAGAATAATGTGGTTTTAGATGAAGTTTAGTATAGTAGATGTTTGGGTTCTGCAGCAAACCACTGACGGCAATTAATGGTTAAGTCTAAAAACAATTATGTTCTAATTAGGAGCAACTGTATATGTCAGTTTTTATGAAATAATTTGCTCATTTTAGAACATTTTGTAAAAAGATAAATATCCTACAGTTGGGGATGGTCTGTGTTAATATGAGTATTCACACTAATACTGGCATAATACATTTCTGCTTCCTAAAAATTTAAGTTTTAGGGGGACATGCCATATGTCATTTTTCTTCTAATATATTGGAGAGTTGGAGAACATTTCTTCTTTAAAATATTCTCTAGTGAATTTTCAGAAGTTGAATGAAAAGATATCTCATTTAAGCACTTCAGTCACCTACCTCAGATGTTTAAATCATGCTGAGTTCTGACAGACATGATGGCAGATATATTCCCAAATAAATAATGTATACAAAGCAGGAAGCAATACTAAGAGTTACCTTCTTTCGAGAGTCAGATGTCCAGTGGCATTCGAAAAGATGACTACATTATAAGGCCAAGTTACTCTAAATATCAGTATTCAAGTGAGGGATGACCTACACTAAAGATACTAAAATAAAAAGCCAAAGGTAAAGGCCAAGATTTCTGCTTTCTATAGCATATGCACTAAACATCTTACAGCTTCGTACTAGGTTCTAAAGCTCAATGTGGAAATTTTTCTTTAATTGCTCTTGACTAACAGTTGATCAAGAAGATAAGAATTAGATAAGGTTACTTTCTTTCCAATTCTTTCATCACTCATACAAATACTACTCTATCTTAAAATTTGTTCCTTATCTTTAAAGATGAATTTCACCTCTTCATTTTTCACTAACTTGGTAGATTCAATGTCAGCTACCAATGTTATGGACAGTAAGATATCTATCAATCCTCTCCCATAATAATGCCTACACAAAGTATCTATGTAAGATAGGTCTTTTGGCAGCTTCAGAATGAAGTTAATCACAATGTAAATATATAATAACAAGTTGTTAAAATACCATGATGGCTTCTGCGTAACAAGGAACAGAACTACACTGTATAATCGCTTCCTTAATGACTTGAGTGAGAATCCTACAAGTGTGAGTTAATTCATTTTCTATCAAAAACATTAGAACTGAAAGTCATTTAAAAGTACTTTATAAGCCGGGCTCGGCGGCTCAGCCTGTAATCCCGCGCCTTTGGGAGGCTGAGGTGAGTGGATTGCCTGAGCCCGCGGGTTCGAGACCTGCCTGGGCAACTTGGCGAGACCTCATCTCTACAATAAATCAAAAAATCAGCTGGGCGTGGTAGCGCATGCCTGTAATTCCGGCTACTCAGAAGGCTGAGGCGGAAGGATCGTCGGAGCCCAGCAGGTCGAGGCTGTGGTGGCCAGGAGCGGCCGCTGCATTCCAGTCTGGGCGACCGAGTGAGACTCCAACTCAAAAAAAATAAAATAAAATAAATAAAAGTATTTTATAGCCAAGTGTGGCGACTCACACCTGTTAATTCTAGCACTCTGGTAGGCCAATGTGGAAGGACTGCTTGAGCCCAAGAGTTTGAGGCCAGCCTGGGAAACATAGCGAGATCTCATCTCTACAAAAAAAAAAAAAAAAATTTTTTAAATAAGCCGGGTGTGGTGGCACATGCCTGCAGTCCCAGCTATTCGGGAGGCTGAGGTGGAAGGATCACCTGAGCCGAGGAGGTCGAAGTTGTGGTGAGTCATGATCATGCCACTGCACTCCAGCCTGGGCAACAGAGTGAGACCCTGACTCAAAAAAAAAAAAAAAAAGTACTTTATCTTCAACTATCTTATTTATCCCCCTAAAATATATACATACATCATTCCTACTATAATATAACCCAATCTGCTCAAGTAAACACTCAAAATTTAAAGGATAAATAGAAAAAGAACACAAACTAAACACTACACTATGAAATATGTTGGAGGGTATTCAAACGCATGGTGGGAGAAATTATATATAGTTTCTTATAATGTGCTATCACTGATGAGGGAATGCATTTTGCAAGGCATCCTGGGGAGGAAAGGCACTGCACAGTAAGCAAGGGCATGGAGATGTAAAGGTGTACAGCACACTGGGGGAACGGGAAGTAGTCTGACAGTCTTGATAACTTGCTATGGTCTCTTTCAGATTTAACATTATTTGAATTTGAGGTACTGTTGAGTATGTGTTCTCAAGAGCCCTCATAAGAGGTAGAGCAGATGCACAACCATCTATATTCTCCCTGTTCCTTACCTGCCCCAGGCAACATCCACTTTGGGGGTTGGGATTGCGGGGAAGTATCTGTGTCAAAGATGGGAGGGAGTGCTACTCGACAACCCCATTGTGTTTAGGACAGATGCCTGAAGATGGAAGAAATCAAACTTTTAGTAGACAGAATAAAACTATTCCTTAAAAATATGGGATTCTAATTTCTCATTTACAAATGCTTGTCGAACGTCTTTTATAAAGAATACGTATATGGAATTTAAAACAACCAAAATACCGAAAAGAAACATTTAATGGAAAAATTCCCAGGAAGTTAAGCATTTTAAAGTAGACTGAAACATAATAAACATCACTAAGCACAAGATTGCATCTTGTGTGATAACCACTTTGTACAGGGCAACAAGTACAGGAACATTCAATACGTATTATCTAAAAATAGAAACAAAATATTTTCTCCACCCAACACGTAGAGGGAAGAAATAGGCAATTTCACTCTTAAATGTGCTATTAAAACATGTATGAGTTCCCCAAAGAACACAAAGACATTAGCATAATCAGAGACAGATTAAAGTAGAAAAAGGGTTTTGCACCTGTTGAGAGGAGCTGCTCAATGACAAGGAAACACGAAAAACAGTGCATAGTAATACAAAGATTGAATGTTTTGGGGAAATGCTATTACCATATGGTTTGAGGCCACCTACATACATTGAAAAAATACTACAAACTAGAAGGGGGTTCAAAATAAGATGAAATATTAATGAAAATGTTTGTCTGAGGGCAACCAGACTTAGCTTCTTAGGAAATTTTCCTACTTCTGAACATTTTGTACCACTATGTACTGAGAAACCTTTGGAGGAAAGTAAACTATACTTTTCCAAGTCTGTTAAACAGGAACAGGAAATAACCACCTAATCTAGATGAATCCTCCCTGCCACCTGGCAACCAATCCTGTCAGGTCAACAGTGACTCTCACAGTTATGTAGTTGTATGGAATCCACAAAAGTACAAAAAGCAGTGTAAATCTGAACAGGATACTTCCCATCTACTGATATGAGCCAGAACAAAACAGAAATATATTTGTGGGAGTGGGGTACAATTAGATAATACAATAAAAAAGGTATATTTACTTAATATTTTACCTTAAATCCTATCTCTCCTGCCATACCAAAGCAAAAACAGAGAATTTTAAAAAATAGCCTTAGACCATTGCAAGCCTCTACTCTGGCAATTGGCTCTGCTTTAGAATTATATTCTTTAGAATGAGATTTACAGGTGAAAACATTAACAAGATAATATCAATCCCTACCAATTTCATAATAATTAACTGTTATGGGTACTCACCATGGTTATTTATATTGGAGGGAGATATGGGAAAAACAGAGAAACCCTCTAGCTTGGTTTTTTCTTCTGCCATCAAATAATGCTTGCTTCTCAACTGTACTCAGGTTCCTCAGCAACTTAGCTCAGAAATCCAACTATATTACTCATAATATCCAACTAAACTCAATATCATGATTCCCCAGGATCTAGAAGCTTAGAGAAAAACAGAAACGGCGGTAGTTTTTTTCCACCACCAGGTTAAAATCTTTTACTTCCTATTTCAACAAAAAACTGTATATATTTCATTACCAAATCATATAAACTACAGATTCGATTCATAAAAATGCACCTTGTATGGTTAAGTCATGTAATAGTATGGGCTGCCATAACAAAATACCATAGACTGTGTGGCTTAAACAACAGAAATTTATTTTCTCACTGTTACAGAAGCTGGAAAGTTCAAGATTAAGGTGCCAGCAGGGTTCATTTCCTGGTAAAAACTCTCTTCCTAGCTGGTATACAGCCACTTTGTCCTTAAAAAGCCTTTCCTCTGAGACTGCAGGGAGAGAGCGCGTGAGCTCTCCAGTGCCTCTTATAAGG